CTCGCCTCTGTCAGTGCGCCCCAGGGTGGCTGTGGCTACAATGTAGCTTGCCATCACCAGTGTGTGAATGTGTGTGTGAATGGGTGGATGACTGGTTGTGTAAAGCGCTTTGGGGTCCTTAGGGACTAGTAAAGCACTATACAAATACAGGCCATTTACCATGGTAAAGTAAATCCGTTGGGTATCTTACTTGGCCTTCAGACAAAAATTCTGATTGCTGAAGAACCAAACGGGACAGGCAAAAAACAAACAAACAAACAAAAAAACCCCAAAGCAATAGACCACGTAGAACCTTCAGTACCACTTATTATTATGACATTCATGCCCATGATGAGTCTACATTAACTTTAGGTAGGCCATATTTTGTCATTTGAAGTGAATTGTATTTACTGCTCTACAAGATGCTGATAAAAACAGATTAGTAGTTTTTCCATTGTGGGCTATGGTCACTGGAAATAATAAGTTTGGTAAAGATTTTTCTTCTAAAGGAAAAAAAAGAGAGCGAGAGGGCAACCAAGTAAAGACAGGATATCCTGCAAGTGCAAAATGCCCTTTTTGTCATTCATAAAACAACGGCAAAGAAATTGATTAAGGTATTCTTGAATTATTACCTCTGAAATGTAAAGTGAATTAAAATACCACCACCTCCACATCACTCGGGAATGTGTATTTAGTTCATTTCATCACCGCTCAATATGGGTCCATTTAAAAATCAAATATTTTCTTATTACTTGTGGAAGTCACACACCCATTCTCTCTCTCCCTCTCTCATACACACACACACACACACACACAGACTCATATACAATGGCTGTCTGTCCCCTTGGTTTCAAGGTTACTTTAGAGTTCCCCTGTTGCTCACAACACATTTGCATCAAACCACCAGCTGCCAATTAACAAACCACCTCTCTGTTAATACACACACGTCACTGTCAATTAGAGTCATGGCTGATCTCTCTAACAACAGAATAACACAACACACATACACTGACAGACAACCACTGTATCACAAGCACCCTGCAGGGAGAGCGAGGTCGGCTTTAGATGTATGGAAACTGTCAAATAACAGCTAATGCTTTAGAAGTGAAAAAATGAATCGGGCAAGTGAGAATGGTGCAACAGTGCAAGAGGGAATGTTCTGTTCCAGTATTGAGGCTTTCAGGATTAGCTTTGTCATGCTGTTGCGAGAGTAGAAACAGTCATTGGTTAAATGAACCCTGACAGAGTGAACAGACACACAAAACACGGCATGAGTTGTACACATAAAATAGCATGGCAATAACACTGTGCTCAAGGCACATTTGTGGAATATTAGATAGATTTGTAGTCTGTATGCATGTTTGACTACACACACAAATGAATTCAACTAAAGTGTTATGCGTATGCTGAATCTTCCTAATTTAGCTCCATTACACGGACTTGTTTTTTGCAAAGAGGAATTTTATGCCATAAGTTTTCAGCAGCACTGTACAAAAGCCTCAGAAGAGGAGCAAATTGCTGCAGGACACACATACTACACAAGCAGGCGCATATAATTATTCTCCTCCTGTTATCTGGTCCACGCACAAACATGCACGCTGTCTAGAATGTGCACATATACACGCGCAGCATAATGATAATTTCCTCCATGCAGCAGCTAAAAAATTGAACTATTTATTATTGTCAATCTTGAGACAGCACAGTGCAGGGATGGTAATGAGAATTTATTAATGTCCACTAGATGGCACCCTCTTCCTTTTCATTTCCAATTTAACTTCTCATTTTTCAACTGATCAGCTGACTCTGAGGTACACAGAACTACATGCATGCTAAATACTAAACTAAGATAAAGGGCACTTTACCATATTAGATTTATTTGACCACAGAAAAGCAAAACAAAACACCAGCAGCATCCTGAGTCTGTGCATTCACTTAGCTTTGATGTTAATCAATCGTTGCCATGTGGCAGTAAAGATCTGCCACCTACCTGTGTTACATTTTGTTATATGCTTGGCTTTGTCTTGCACAATGTGACTGTATCAGCAAGAATATATCAATCAAGCGATCAATCAGTACCACTCAGCTTGTGGGAGGTTGACTGTACCCACTATGCATCGAGT